TTAACCTTTCCGTATAATTCCTGGAAATTTCCAACTTTATGGGAARGAACTCTTTTCTTAAATGTATCCAAAGATTTTCAATTAAGTTTAAGTCCGAGATACTTGAAAGCCGGTGTAATWGAGGCACCATGTTTTCTTGAAACCATTGTTTTGTACCACGCGCAGTATGTTTCAAGTCGTTATCTTGCTGGTAAATTCACGTTACGGGCATATTGCCATGAGGATATGGTAATATTACGTCGTCCATGATTGAAACGTACTTGAACTGGTCCATGCGCAAATTTATTTTACAAATAGGCTCATCACCTCACCACGATATGGCACCCCAAGTCATTATGCAGCCGCCACCATGTTTTAAAGTTAGTTTAGTGTATTTTTGGTCCAACTCCTTGCATCGAGCCCTGCGGACATAAGTTTTCCATCAAGAAATCCTATTTATCTTGCTTTCATCCAAAAATAATACTCTTTTAAACTCTTTTGCTGTACAATGGCGGTATTTCTTTGGAAACTCTAAGCGKCTTATTTGATTGCGTTCAGAGAGTAATGGCTTTRTCCTTGAAACTCTTCCGAAKAGCCCTGCCTCGRGTAATTGTCTTTTTACGGTAAMTACAGATAGTGCATCTGGGTTTTCTCCCCAAATGCTTGCATCTCGAATTTGTTTTGCCGTTTTGTGGGGATCCTTTTTTGAATCGCGGATAATTAACTCCCCCTTCTGAAGAGTAGATTTCCGATCTTTCTTCTTTCTTGGAACTTGTTTTGTCATTTTATTCTTGTTGAAATACMTAACTGCATTAATTAAAAGCCAACCGCTTGGGGGAAATTTAGGGTCTTTTCAATGTCTCCRTCAGATTTCCCATCTTTGTACATCTGTACTATAGCAGCCCTAGTGTMTTTATCACAAGACTGGTGCTTACTCATTTTTATTCACTAAAACTATTTAATTTCTTAATAGTAACGTATTTTAATAAAAATATAAAGATTTAGTTACCTGAACACAACTAATTTCTAATAAATCTTAAGAATTCAACACGGGTTGCTAATTATATTCACGACCATTTTACTCACTATTGCATAAAAGAACTCAACTATTTCAGAATAACGGGATATTTTCGAAATAAAAATGTCAGCTAAATCTGACCATACTTTCATAGAAGATAATTCCAAATGAAATTATATTTTTACCCTTACAAATTTTACAGAAATCGTCATTTAACTTACAGGGGCACGTCGTTGTTAATTAGTTGCACGCATCTGTATGTAATACTATGTGTGTAATTTGAAGTAGTGAAGCGTAATCAATAAGACACTCAATTTCGAATTTTTTGATAATACGTTATTTTTGCATTTCAGGTGATGATATGTAAGTTACAAAATGAAAGTCAATTAGTTGACTTTCAAAATATTTAGTTCGAACAAACCCTTTACATCAAAGCATAAAATAACCAATTTTAAATTACCAGCGGAGATTTTAATTACTACATACATAAATATAGGTTTCTGTCGTAATCTCTTAAGACACACAACAGTTAAGGCGGAACTAATTGCATACCAAATTGGAATTTATAACAAAAAATGAGTGAATTGATTTATTTTGAGCAATATATTTTAGTTATTTTTATAAGATTTTATAAAGTGAGCGATTTTTTCTGGAACCAAATAAAAAAGAAAATATTGGAGATTATTAAAAAAATATATGTATATCAAAAAAGAAACATGCATTTACTTTCTTAATTAATTCTTTTAATTTAATTGTTCCTATATTCGTACCTACATACATATGTACATATCTACATACACATGTAGCCATAAAACAATTACAACAAAAGCACCAAATTTGTATACACCCATAAAGAGTTGAGTATAAGAATTTATCATTTAATACTTAATCATTTAGTTCATTGAGCATTAAAATGCACTTGGCTACWTTCTTGAATGAAGTCCCTTATGCCATTGAGAACACGACACAAAGTAAACGGTATAATGCGTGATTGAGTTGAAAGCAGAGCTCAAAAGCCTTTACAATAGAAATGGGAATATCCAATAAGAATATATATAGCGATAACAGTATGAATGACGTRCACTAGCAATTACAACAACTACGGAATAGCTATGATATCATTCTTCGAATTTTCGAAAATTCGGAAAACAATTGGATTCAACACACACACACACAGAACGGTATAGCAATCAGATTGCGTGCAAAACGAAGGCAAACCATGATGAATGATGCAAAGAAAATAAAACAGGGAGTGGACATGTATGGTTGTATGAGYTTATGTACAAGAGAGAAACATGACATTGTATGGGAATATTTGAAAGAATCCTCTCCGTCGTTAGAGATCATTGTCAAAAATAAAGTAAAATAATTTAACTAATGAATATTTGACACTATACTACTTCATATTCTTCTTTTCTTTAAATTTAAATACTTGCAAATTGACGACAACTTTGTATAYTGTTATTTGACGAATTTAATTAGTATATTTTTGTATTGTCACACGTTTGTGCAACAATTTGCACTCTTCTTACCCATCTTTCTCGTTACTCSCTTATCCGGCGCTCAAATACACGTACTCTGCCTGCTACAAATTTACTCAATAGCTCGTTGTTGTTATTTTATTGTTGTCGCACCGCGTTGTGTGTTATTCGAAAAGCACCACAGCAATATCTATATACTCTTCTCACGTTTACGGAACAGCACTCAACACAGCACAAATTGGACAATTTCTTTAACCACTACCACACTACTCAGTAACCGATACCACACACACACACGCACCAGCATGTACGTACGATTATCGACTAACCAATCGACCAATTGACCGATTCCAACTAGAATTTTATCCTTAGCTTATTTCCAATTGCAAAGCACTTTTATGCACCTTTCCGCCCTTTTTCACTTCGTTGAATTTTCTACTATTTGTCGTATATATTTATTACTGCCCAGACAGTTGCGATTAACTCTTCTTTACACTTCTAATATTTCAACATGTAATTCTTTCTAAAGAACCACTGGACAAAAGTTTATATGGAGATCGAAACGAATTTACAATGCTATTGATTTCTAAATTTCACAGATAAACTTTCTATATATTTTTCATACTATTTTACAGAGTTTTTAGCTACCGTTTGCAATCGACACCACTAAATAGGATTTTCTTAATTTTGCGCACCAAAATTAACCACCACACACCCGCTTTCATTAACTATTGTCAGAGCAGAGTCTGCTTGAATTTTCGAATGAACACTATAACCAGAGAACTCTTTTCGCTGTTGTCGAGCGAAAAAGGCAAAGTGTCAATAGTTGCGCCAATTTCATATTCTGTTAGTCAGTGAAATCAGGCCGTAACAGGGTRACTCATATATCATATAAACAAATTTCTAGTTAATGTAAAATGTATGTATGTCATGAAATATATATAAAAATAAATATAAAACGTAAGTCACGTGATACTACACTCTGTTGAAACTCAAATATTCTAAATTTACATAAGCTGAAATTAATAAAATCGGAAGAGTTGTCCACAAGTATCAATTCCAAAATACTTACTCGAACACGTATTATTCCCTTGTGGCTAACGGTATATCAAAACAAGAAAACACGTCAAATTCGATTGTACCAATGCTAATACCCTTCACAATAAAAAARTTATCATACAAGATTTGATTTTGGTCGCTAATTGTGTGTGGCAGTTATATGCTTTAGTAGTTTGATCTGAACAATTTTTTCGGAAATGAGCTGCTTCTTAAGGAGAAACAGACGTGAAAAATTTTCAGATCGATAATTCCTAATATGGGGGACTATATATTTTGTGGGGTCTTCGAAGTTTCCTTCTGGATGTTATAAATTTCGTGACATGCTTTTTTCCTGTTCGGGGTATAAAACCGATTTAGTTCTATAACTATCAGAAAAAAATACTTATATTGACCTATACTCTCATTAGTACTCTGAAACTGTTGCACATACGCATGTTGCGTACTAAACTCGACAAAAAGTCAACTTAATTGCGCCTATTAAATGCAAGCGATTAGAACTATTATAGTTAAATAGTATAAAGCCAATTGTTTTCTCTTTTAATCCATCTTATATATAGTATATTTTGTGTGAAATGGGCGCAAGTTTCTTTCAATAACATTACCAACAAAAATTATAATATGTATGCAATATAATAATCAATTTATAATTCCAAGAAAAAAATCGTAAACAACTATTAATATTTTCTCATACATCATGGATCGTATTCATACTTATTTACTTTTTAAATTATTATTGTAGATGTATGTTTTTAAAATTTTTTCAATATAAATATATTTTTTCGTTTTTTTTTTCTTTTTGATTGCGGACAATTACTGATAAAATTAGTACGACAACTGTAGTCGGCCAGCAAAAAGAAACGCATTATGACAATAAAATATTTTCTAGTTCAAGTATTACATATTTTACATTCATTTGATTTTGTAAATAATACATACTTAATATTAAAACTATTTTATTTTTAATTTTCTTTTATTTATACTTTACTTGAGACTCAACGTACACACGTGAATTCAATGTCGGTAAATGTTTGACATTTGCTTTCATCAAAGTTTAAATAGCACATGTACATATTGTATGAGATGYTATCGGTTCTGTTGTTTTGATCTCATATCCGTTTTGTCTTTTACCTTTTGTTTTTAATTTTACACTAAACTCGGTTAACTGTTACACACCTGTCAGTGAGTGTGATCACCATGATAAACATAAGTTTGTGATTATTTTCTGTTTATATTTACGTTTCCTTTAAATTACATTTTTTAGCTCTCTTACTAAAATCAACGATTTTTGTTGAACTGGAAACGGATATGATTTTTTTTAGTTATTTGCTATATTTTCTTTGCATTTTTTGTCGTAATATRTATTTATTTGTATGTATCGTACAAACCTACAAATACGTAAGTTTCACAATACCCATTAACTACGTAAAATATGCTTCAATTTTTTTAATCAATATAACGGCATGTTAGTTATCTAGGTATTCATACTTTTAGTTACTCAATTTTAATAATTGTATATATGTATTCAGTTTATGTTTTGGGATTCTTTTATGAAGTATACACTACCACTTTATATCGTGCTTATTAGCTTAATGTCACCGTCGAGCAAGTTGTCTCCAAGAACTGCAACTAGTTTGCGCTCGTGCCTATTCTTCGTCGGAATCACCCTCACTTGAGTAGCCGGTTTGTTGAGGTCTTCGCACAAAAGGCGCTGTTATGACTTGACTGAAATGTGGTAAAAATGTTTAATATTGCATGAAGSAAATTGCGGTAGCACCGATACTTACGCGATTCTTCGATAGTGATTCAACCATTCTTCCAGCATTTGTGCTACTAACAGAGGACGTTTACGAATTTTCTGTTGTGCCACTAGTAAGCCGCCATCTGTAACACACACATCCAACCATTGTCGCATTATAGCCTCTTCGCGGCCCATCTGTGAAATTCAAGAGCATTGGACTATCAATTATACTAGTGTTTTTTTTTTTTTGCCAATACTACCTCAGCCTGAGTTAGAAAGTGTATTGGAAAAAGTTTTGATTCACAATCCATTAATGGCAGATAACGCACATCCTCTGGTTCATCTCTACGTGGATCGATGCGGGCAAATGGCTCCATCGGCACTAAAGCACTGAAATGTCCACGCGTATAACCGAGTGCAATGGGTGATTTTATGCAGAAATTTTGATCCCAAAATAACGGCAAGTAAAGTCCTATTTTTTTAATTAAACATTTTTATAATTACAAAAAAAAATTTAAAATAATAAATCATTTGTTTACTGCTATATTTATAAATAAAGTGCATTACCTTCAAATCTCGCATAGCCGATGTCCTCACCACGAAAGCTTTTGACATATTTTACACCGTAAACTATGATTGGTCGTCGCAATATATGAGCTAAAGCAAATATATGTAACTGTTCCAAAGATGAGCCCGGTTGACTGGCCAACGACAGCAAATTACTCCAGTCTTCTTGCCATTGGGCGTCTTCCAATGTAAAGTGTAACATTGATGCCTGCCACTTTTCATACTCCTTCCAGCGTGGATAAAAGCTATAAAATAGACGACAAATTAATTATTAATAATACATTCACAACACTTATGGCAGTGTGTATGTCTTACATGGGACCACATTGATGCAAGGTATCTGCCAAGGCTCGACGCAGCGTATTGTCGCGGTCAAATACACCCCAAGTTGCCTGCATTGCCGAGTCTAATAGGCAATCGCCAGCGCTACGATTCCAYAACACTAATAACCGTGAGCCCAAACGTGCTGTAATTTCCAGCGACCAATTGAGTGCGGGTGGAGGGTTTTCAAGTTGCTTTTGGGCATCGCGATCTAACAATTCATCATACAACTGCTCCTGAATTTGTATTGGCAACTCTTCTATCTCRGCTGGCAAAGCGAATGTCGCATGCTCTTGCACATACAAGCAATTAAAAGAAGTTTTACGCATGCGTAGCGTATTAGCAAAATGCCTTCGTATATCAGCSGCCAAGTCCGGTGCAACATATGAAGGTACGCGTTTAATGCCAGGCCCGGAGCCTGAGATCTGTGCAAGCAACATGGGCAACATTTCTTCGCGATGAAAACGTATTGCCAAATGAATCAGTGTGTGACCGACGTCAAACGCCGAGTTACGATTCAATATAGCGATTTCAGTCGCCGTTAAAGCACGTGCAGGATTGCCGCCACAAGACAAATACGCCTCTACAGCGCTATAATTGTTTTCCACAACACCTGTGGAGTACGAATATAATTAATATGGTGATGWCAATGAATGTATAATGTTATTTATACGAAATTCGCTGAGACTTACCGAGGCAAGCATTTAACCACTGCCAATCAACTTGTCGTCTTATTTGTCGGGTACGCCGTTCTTGACGCTCTTGCACCGTATCACAGTTGTTTATAGTCTCAGAAGAACCTGCATTTTATTAAGGGAATATGCGCGTGAWTTTTTTAAAATATGAYAAAAGTGTTTATAGTTTCTTACCTAGTTGGTAAATATGTTTTTTGTTGAATGAATTATTCGTTGACACAGTCATGTCATGGTTTTCATCTTTTATGTTGAGGAATTTGTTGCATCCCGAGCCGGATGTTGCTGTGATGGCGTTGTTGTCACCCAAGGAAGCTATGCAGGTTGCATTTCCATCACGTGGCTCCCCGCACATAGAACATTTAAGACTTTTTGGCCAATTTTCATAAGTACACGTCTACAATCAAAGCACAAAATGAAGTTAAATATTTATAGTATTTATRCTATCAGCTTTTATCTTACATTACAGGCCCATTTGGCTACATAACAGTTCTGCAGAGATGTGGACGACTGATTGTGCTGTTGTTGTTGCTGCGACGAATTTGCAAGATTATTTAAGTGTGTTGTAYTAACCGTTGTGGTATTTGTCGCCACAATCATATTGGCATTAGACGAGTGTTCAAATGGACTAAGTCKATTTGAAGCGGCACCCACGGATTGAATATAACTATTACTAGCTTTTTTAAGGTTTTGGTCGGTGTGACTGCTTGCTTCGTTTTTATTCGATTCCGCGTTATTACTAGTATTCAATTCCATATCATTAGTGATACGTAATGATTTTAACTGTTCTTTAAGGTTACTCGACAAATTTGCCGATGAGTTCGTGGTAATTATTGCTGCTGGTGTTTCGTTGACGACATCCACGGTTTTTGATCTTTTTTCCATATAACTTTGCGGACCATCAATCGCGTCCAGATTTTCACTAGCAGGTAATGAAACTGCTGCCGCCTCACCGGCGTTACAAATAGTTTGTTCGATATTAACATCAACAGCTGTGCCACGCTTGGTGCAACATTGTACACATCGCAAACTTCGTGGCCAGTTTAGGTAGGTGCACATCTTGCAGGCCCATTTAGCGCAAACAGATGGAGAGGCCGGAGCGGGAGTTGTTGAGGGTACATCTTGCCGCGATTGTGTATAACAAGCGTTAAGGCTAGAAGCTTCCACCACATCAGCAGTGGCGCCACGCTCCTCTTCACCACCAAAGGCAGTTTGGGGAGGACTTAATCTAGAAAATTTYATTTATAGTTATTTTTGGTGTATATGTCATTAAGTTAAATATATATATTTTAATTACCGAAAGATATCCTCATTCAACAGTGGTTTTGCACCTTTACACATTGTGCATTTAAGCGACGAGGGAAAGTTTTCATAGGTGCAATAATCGCATGTCCACTTTTGTACTTTGCTGTCATCTGAATCGCACATTTCTTTAGTCGGCAAAGCAGTACCTTGAGAGCTATCAAAAGCTGCCTGCGTTTGGTAACCGATCGCTTGACAAAACCACAATTGACGACACGGCACACTGCACACTTCCTGAATGTCCCTTTAAAAAGTTAGGCTAATGGGTATTTTTTATATATTCAATCTAATACCTTTTACAATCCAATTGGAAAATRACAATAAGCAGGATGAATGTTGATTAATCGTACTTATCAATTTAGCCTCTGTATTATCGTTTTTACAAGGCAGATGGAAAACTTTATATTGGAGAATACTAAAGGCGCAAACGTGTTTTTTCGGCCAAGGGCAGTGTTATATATATATATCAGCGAAGGATGCAAGCAGCGTCAAAGACAAAAACAAAAACAAATGTGATTAATTAAACATAGCCAATGCCAATTGGTTATGTCCTTGACACTCAGTTACAATATTTCTTATTCATCTATAAATATGTTCACTGCACCTACATACATATGTGCATAGCATTGATAATGCAATGCAATATAATTAATATTAAGAAATGATTGCGCGTTTTACATTACAATGGCGCTGGTCCGAATTCCAATGTCGGAATTGGCACAAAAAATATTTAGCAAACAAATTACTGCAATCACACACACACGATTTTCACACGCGTCGATAATTTCTAATTGTGAATATAATTGGACCCAAAACAAAGGAATACGGAACWCTAAATAGCCAACAACTAAACTTTCACTACATCAGCAATATTGTGGGAAAATTGCATGAAAGCATTAAAATATATTCACCTCCCGCCCCTTTGCTTGTACGAATAATTGCAGCTAAACACGCATTCGTACTTAAAATCGACGTGCCGCAATTTATTTATTAACTTCGAATTTTTATTATTTCATGATATTGATTTGTGTTTTCTATTTTTTTGGATTTTTTGCAGAATTGCAACAAATAGAAAAATTGTTAAATTCGACTGGGGAAAATGAAAATGGACCAATGACACAAATTTATTACGTCAATATTTTGACAGTTTCAATGCGTTTGCGACAATGGAGAATAATTGTAATGCGTTCGAAATTTCAGGTAAACATATTATTTTATTAACAAGTGTTTGCATTCATTTTTTTTTTGTTTAAAAGTAAACAGTTTTACACAGTTTGTAGATATTTTGACTTACTTCTTATCGAATATCGATTAAAATTTTGTTAGATTACAGTAATCTTTCAACTGTTTGCACCTTTCCTGTTTTTATCCATGACACTAGTTGCGCATATGTAAAAGCAATGGAACATGGCTCGTTATAAGCACAAAGCGAGACAAAGAAAGCATCATTAAATTTAAAACAGGCAATAAAGAGAAACAAAGAAAGTTATTGAAGATCGGAAGTGATTTCAGTGCGTAAACAACATAAATAAATATCTCTCACTATTTGATTAACAATAAGTCAGATAACAATCCAAGTGCATTGTATAATAAGTAAATATTTGCAACATATTTCRCCAATAATTCAAACGAGAATTTATCCAAGCAGAGGGAATTTGCTGACAAGTATTAGTTGATTGATGTGAGTACTGACTCATTTAATTTACAGATATGTACAATATAAGTATATGCATGCAGTTTTAGTGAAAACCGTTTTTATTCAGTGCCTTTGTTTGCGGTTTTGGTACGGATACAGGTTTAGATATTTAAATGCGATTGCGTAGTTCTGAAATGATATGSTTGCACAAACAAGTAAATATGTACAAGTGATGCGTTTATGTACACACAGACAAGGCCACAAGTATGTKTAGTGATAGAGAAATGAAAAAATGTCAAGTTCGTGGCCTAAGTTTTTAGTTTCTGTTCATATCAGCTTGATGCATAGATAACAAATACTACATCGCTTATCAAATAAGTTATTGTTACAAAAATACTTAACATACATATATTTGATTATAGCAAGTATAATTTTGTTTATTTTAATTGTTGGTGTGAATGAATTTTCCATGGAATCCTAGTGCAACGACCAAACATAAAATCGTATGCACATAGCAACAACCGCTTCCAATTGGGGTGGAGAAAGTGTGAACAAGTGGCTAAATTACTAACRCCACCAGGAAGCAGCTTGTAAACATCACTTGCAGCAAGCACATTAAACGAGCGTTTACTGGTTGCAGCATTCACATAATTTTAATGTATTAATCGCGCCACATCTTGCCAGTCAACGATAGCCATGAGTATACGCACAAGGGCACTAGTCTTTTCAACCTTCTTTGGGAGTTGCATCGCAATCGGACTCCTGCTGGTCAGTCTAACAACAAATCATTGGGTGCGTGCCTATCCGAAACGACTCAATTCAACAGTAAGTACATAAAAATCTGTGCAATTGGGCAATGAAATKACATTGAATATTATTATACTAATCTTTATATTATTTTTTTGCCAGGATTCTAAAGGTGATATTAACTTTGGCTTATTTTATGGGAACAAAGATYTAAATTATGGCTTTGGTGTTCGCACTACACCTATCATTGGTATGTTTTCTTAATATATACATACATATATCCGTATATATCTCATTTGATATTTTTTAGTGTACACATTCGATCAAAATGGTCCAGAAACAATGAATTTTTGGCTATGGCTGATCACAGCTTTGGGTACTGGCTTTGGCTTRCTTACATGTGCAATTTCGGCAATTGCTGCCGTGTTAAAGGCCGCATCAGCAGCAAAGCGTCCTGCAACTATGGTACTACTTTTCGCTTCTAACATTTCATCGGCAGCCGCTCAAGTGATYGCTTTCGTTTGTTGGCTTGTTCAGTTCTATCAATATCTGCAGCAAAATGTACTTGCTGTACAAGATCGTCATTGGTATAGTCATGGCTTAGCTTATTTGGGCTACAGCTTTTATTTGGTAATCGCATCTACCCTTGTTGTTATATTGAATATTATCATTTTACTGCATGCTAAACGCCGTGAGCGAGCCGATCGCCAAAGACTTGAGCCTCCTAGTGAGGAGAAGAATCAAGGCGCCATAATGTTATACTAAAAGTCAAGGATAAAGTCCTCATAGAAATATTTTTAGTAAAAAAACRATCAACTGATGTTAATTTATTATTAATTAGCGTGATTATTGAATCTCAAAGCGCAAATTATTATACTCGGAAATTGATTAATTTCCCAAAAAGGAGTTAATTTCATATCTATATTTATAAATGTATAATTATACAAGGTCAAAATAATAAGTACATTCCTTTAGCCTGCAATAGTGGTTAAATTTTGAATGTTTGGTTAATTAAACGTATGAAACTTAGTGAGAGACTGCAAATGATAATAATTGATGCCAAAAAGAATTTCATAAGTAATTGAGAATAATGGCGGATATACTAGATAATGATGAAGGAAAAAATCAAATAGGGCACAGAAAACTGAAACTAATACATTTTTTCAGTCAGAGCTACCTGATTGACTTATTATTTTATCCAACCATTTCTAYAGCCTTTTATCTTCAAATTTAATTTTTTATTACTAGTATCATTATTTATTTGATTTAAATGTTAAAATAAATGAAATCTAATTTTCTATCTCTCATGAGTAAAAGTGAATTTATTAGTCATTGAAAGTCACACTGATGTATGTATGTACTTATTATTTTGACTATGTAATAGGTRAATAGCATTTAAAATGTATGCACTGTATGTTTTATGCAAACATATTTTATGATATACTCTACTATATTAGACTGCCTACTTTGTCAACCACTTATTTTATTCCTATCTCGAGTTTCCGTCGAATCTACTTTTAATATTAAAATAATATTTTTCAAATAAATTGAATTTTAAAGTATTTGTCTCTGTAAATGATAGTCTTACTTTTATAATTAAACGACTTTTGACTCAGTGCTTTCTTGGGTAAAAAATATTATAATATTTTTCAATAAMATTGCAATGGTATATTTGTTTCTTCTACTGCCATTGCTGGCTGCGCATGTGAACGAATTAATAAGCGTTGTCGTAACCCAAGTTTAGCACGTCCATTCGAGTTGAATGTGTATTCAGTTCGCAGAGTGTCCATTATTGAGATATTGTGTGTCAAATGTTGAAAGTAAAGTGATGTCCAGAGCTCAACAGTTAAAAATGCAGAAACAGCCAAATAAATAAATCGAATACATTGAAAAAGCGTTCTACTGGATTCTTGTACAGGTTGATCAGGTCAAWGGTCGAAGCACAAATGTCGAAAATTGGTGTCAGCATTAAGGACAAGAAAACGCAAAGCCCCCAATAGTCTGGTATGTAAGYTTTATGATTGATGGCGTTTTCTGCAAAAAATATTTAGTCATTAAATAAGTTGGTTTGTATGTAAGTAGTTTAGAGTTTTGTTTTACTTACGTTTGAATGTGTTGATTTTTGGGTATCCAGCTATTGCCTTTCCTTGGAATCTACTTTCTGGTGTAACGATCTGTTCASATGGTATCGTGGTTATATTTGAATGTATGCGATTTAGTTCGTCGAGTCGCATGGTAGCGTTTCGTTAGCAGCTATACATACGCAGACCAAGGTCAAAATCACTTACAACTAAAATTTTACAAATTCATTAAAATATTTGAATAAATAAGTTCATGTTTATATTAACAGTATCTGGGGTTATGTGTTGTAAAACCTCAATATCATTGMGAATAAAACTTTTCCGATTATATACAGTCCTCGCGCATTCTCCAACAAGTTCTTGGAAAGAACTGAATTTAAAATAAATTAATTTAAACAGAAACTCTCGACTCTCGACAAATCTTCGTTATAACTTATGTTCGTTTGCTACTCTTAAAGTCTTAAAACTCTCAACAACAACTCAATTAATAGAAGAATAGGTATTAAATTGGGCTGAACATTTAGTCCCTCGAACTGTGAAGCTCCTACATAGTTAGCTAAGATGAGACGAGGACGTATTCCAGAGCCTCTCGCATACTGACTTCTCTGTACTTTCTGCATGTATCGTTACTTATGTCCATCCGGCCCGCATGTTGCGATTTCTCATTAACCAAAAACTTTCCTGCAGTCCTTTTTAGACCTTGTGTTTAAAAAGCATTTGTGTTGATAACTGCCGCCTGTGTATCGACGTCTATGTCGATCTTCTTTATATTGTTTCCTGTGTAATTAGCTATTTATGTCACTTTCCTGACCCCAAAGACCTCCGCCTTGAAGATATCAGGGTATTCCGGAAGCTTGAAGATTCGCTGAGTTGCARCTCTGAGCAATAGATATCGGCTCCCAATCCATTAGCCATTTTTGATCCGTCTGTTTAAAAATTATAAGTACCGCTGGCAAGTGATGCTCCTGCTTTAGTGTGATTTGAAAGCTTCTCTCCCAATTAAAGTTTATTTTATCCAGCAACCCCCTGCTTACTCAGCTATTTGATAGCTCAAAWTTGCCAAATAAAAAAGATTTTTATACAAGGATGAAAACTGTATGTTCGCAATATAAAGATATAAAGATTAATCTCGTAGAATATATCTATACTTTATAATTGTATGGTCTCCGGCGCATACATCTGGGTTTTACAAACCTCATATGTATGTATATTTATTGATAACTCACCAGCAAGAACAAACAAAAATTTCGATGTTAATTGCTGACGATTCAGACAGCTCGCGAATATTCCATAATTATTCTCATTATGTAGTCGAGTGGAGAGAACTGGCCGACGCTCTTAACTTATTGTAAAGATAATTATAGATTTTAATGTATTTTGTACTCATTTTAAATATTTATAGAAACGTCATATTGCCTTCCACTTTAGTCACTTAGCAAAATGTCTATTCATATATGGATAGGAAAATGGCTAATTGACTCAATTAAGAGGAATATAATGAACTTATACACATGCTATACATACCCAATTTTCGGTTGTAACACTAATTAAACAAAGTAGACAAGATAATAACGCAAGTCCATGTTAATCATATAGAAAGACTTATTAATTTTATTATATACATAAGTACGTTATAGGTTTGTTTGGTAGATTTTTATGTTCGTTGGGTTTTGCTATATTTTTCATAGGAAATTTATCGGTTTATACTAACTGATAGTTATGAAAAAAAAAAAACACTCCTTAATAGACTGAAAATACCAAAAGCATCTTTAAGTCACAWTATAATAATGGTGTTTCGTGCCGAAGATGTGGACTAACTACTTAGTTGTGATGTCAATCACTAGAGAAGAATACATATATATCTTATCATTAAAGATAAAAATTCTTAACAATTCAACAATGATCTTAGCTGAAAGGCAGACATACTCGTACCTACATAAAATGGAAAACAACATACATACATATCAACAAAATCTTAATTTATTTTTCAAAATCTATGTCGTCCCCTTCAAAGTAATCTCCTATGGCCCCAATACACTTGTGATAAAGTTTTTTTCCATTCCTCGAATCAGTTGTTAAAGTCAATTTCCGGAATAGTCTTCAATGCATTTAACAATCTCATTTAATGTCTTTAATTGACTCAAAACCGTTTCTCCGGAGCGGTCGTTTGAGTTTGGTGAATAACCATAAATCGCAAAGAGCTAGATTAGGCGGTGGTGTCAGCACGATACTGCAGTATGCGACGGTTCATTGACATGGTGCAAAAACCAAGAATTCCCCATTAATTCCGGCATCTTTTTGTTAATAGCTTCACATCGTTTGCGCTCAAATAGTATTCCTTGTTGACAGTTTAGTCGGTCGAAAGGAATTCATAGTCTGTTTTCGGGTCATAAGCATAGATCCAGGACTCATCGCCAGAATTAGTACGTTACATGACATCCTGGTAGTTCGACGTTAACGCGTCGCAGTTTTTTGAAAAAATTGACGAATTTTGGAACCCAATCGTGCCCACATGATCTTTGAAAATGGTTTTATATCTCAATTTCTAGTAAAATCACGGCTGATACAGCATAAGTCCTTTCGGTAGCTAATCTTCAGYAGGATCTCTGTAGAATTAGTGTCCAGCAGTGTCCATTTAAAATTATCTTAAAATAGTTAATGGAGGACTAGTAAAAATTTAGATTTTTAACAAAATGTCGGCCTGTCCAGTCGTTTTTTGTGAAAAAATTATWTTTCAGAGTAGTTTGAAAGTCGAAATTATTTTAAAAAMTCTTATCTATTCTGTCCGTTTGAAGTTTGGTAGACGATTAAATTAAATTAAGAAGTTCTAACAAGAACGCGCCTATCTCTGATTGTATATTTTCGCAGAATATTCTCAAATACTTTTAGATTCGATATACTTACATATACAACGCTCTTTTATAAGAATCATACATGAATTTTCATATCAAAAATTCGTTCTACAAAATTTATATGATCCTCTAACTCAAAGAGTGGTGGTCCCGCATCAATGCACTCCGCTGCTCCTTAGGCCAAAAGTGATTTCTATAATCCCGTTCAAGATGGATATATGGATCTAAGTCTGTGGGAATGTATTTAGTATCCAACAGTGTATTAAATGAACCCCTGTGGGTTTTCTCATCCGCAGTTTCCTCACAAACCACAGAGTCGCCCCCCAAATGAAGACATAATTTATTCGGCAATATTATGCACTCCTGCACAATCTTACATACAAACCACATTATACTCTATATTCATATGGATATATATATATATGTATTGGTCACCTTATTCCACAATTCCATGTGTCATTGTTCGCTGACGTTTCTTGCTTCGGTTTGTGCAACACTGATGCTGTCTCTTATACACATCTAGATGTGTATAAGAGACAGACATTATACTCTATATTCATATGGATATATATATATATGTATTGGTCACCTTATTCCACAATTCCATGTGTCATTGTTCGCTGACGTTTCTTGCTTCGGTTTGTGCAACACTGATGAGTCAATTGCCGGAAAGGAAGTGTGGGGTGCAGGTAGAGCCATGCAGAATTCTTACGTTTTGCCTTTTCCTAGCAAAAGCAATAGCAACAACAACATTAGCATTATGTTCATCAACGAAGTCAATTTGTGAGCCAGAGGAAACACCACAATAAGGAAACGCTGACGATCAGCAAGTAGAGGAAGTGCTGCCGCTGTGYCTTTGTCCCGTATATCTAAACAAACTACATTTATACAATTAATTTGAAGAATGACTWCTCGTATAATCGATACCACTGGGACTGAGAGTAGTAAAAAAGGCAGAGTAAACTGTGAAATAATGCCAATTAATTGATTTGTTTGCGAAATGTCACAGTTGTGACATAATGACACCGTTTAATGCCTTATTTGTTTCACTTACTTCCATTTACTTGTGTTCTTTGCATTTTTAAGACGTTCGCTTGAGCGATTGCTGTGGTCCCAGCATGTGTGGCGATTAWCTCCCTGTGCAGCCAAATTGGTGTTGCATCTTAGGCGCACTCAATTAGTCGTGTGTGGCTGTCGTTGTGCGTTTGTAGGTTCGAAAGAAAAAGAAATCAGTATTGCTGACTATTTTGACATTTAGAACACAATAATGGTGTCAAGATTGCACCACAAGAGTCCATCCATCAAAATCGTCTAAACATACRCATATACAAACATGCTTCATTTTTTAATTGCTCAGCAAAAATTAAAGGAATTCCATTAAAATGAAGCGATCTTGCAGATGTAGCCAAAAAAATCATACGGCTTTATCATTTATGGTATGAGGTTATGTTGTCTCCAAAGATAATCAAAATCTGGGCCAGGTGTTTTACATTTTTTCTAAATAATTTTTTACTCTCTTTATTTTTATATATCCGAATTTCTCTTCAGCTCTTGTAGAAAATATACTTGACAGTTCCTTTGTGGTTTTCGCCACATAATCTTAAAGTTGTTAGAATTTTAAGAACACATATTTCTTCTAAACTAAAATATATCAATTGTTAGAAAAGTTGACTTTTGTACGAAAGCATTTCTTTCCTTCTTGAAAATCGAATTATTTAAAAAATAGCGGAGTTCAAAATCTTTATAATAACATATAAACATTTTAACGACCTAGAATTCAGAAAGAGTTGTGCGCAATATCGCTGTGACAATCCAGGGAACGGACTCAGTTTCCACCAATATCAAGCAAGTTTTTTCTAATAGTCAGTAACCCTTAGTAGGCGACGGTAAACTTCCGAGTTAATTTAATTTTCACGTAAAACCTCATTGGGGCTCCGGTTTCGAATCAAAACTTCTAGGTTTATCCATTTGACGGACAGCTGCAAAGCTCACATATGAATGAAGACGGAGCTAGTTCAAGTATCTCATAAGCACTAATTCGATGGTATATACTACCAAAATTTGCAAAAACCACTTGAAGTTCGAACACTAAAACTTTCTTACATATTTCTCTTCTCTCAAGTTTCTAAGGAATCGATGGCAAAGATTCTCATATCATTTCTGCAAAACACCATAAAAAAAYTTCAACAAAGACATGCAATTGATCGGTTCGCAAAAATGTCACCTTATACAATTTGCTTTCGTTCATGATTATTATATTATTAGCTCTATGAGTTACGAATTAAGATATTCTCACTTTTGGCTACAGTTTGCT